GCTTTTATTGATAGAAAGTAATTTCGTGTTGCTAAAATAGTACTTGAATGTACGAGAATACGGATAGGTAGACAAAAAGTATTCCCTTGTTACGCAAGACAGTGTGCATTTGTTAATTTTATCTGAATTTAAATATTTATAATGAACAATGATTTAAATCTTAGCTTCATTTATGTAGGAATTCTTTTTGAAAATAACCTTAAATAACTGCTTTTTGAGCTTTATGAGAAATCGGCATAAGGCTATAAATAAATTAAATTAAGCAAATATTAACCTTAGACGGAAGTTAATTCCATAGGAAGAAAAATACTCGTTTCATTTCAAGAGAGGAGGGCACGCAGATTTAAATTTTAAATTAGTATGCATTATTATCCATAGGCGGTCTTTATGAATAATTAAAATTTTCAGGCCTGGTTGACGATGCAAATTAATTGTCCTATCAACTGTTATCAGTTTTTTTTTTCAATAGTTCACTTAATCCTTTACCGAAACCATGAATTATTTTTCTGTTGTATTAATCTGGGCTTTGATATGGATAACTTCCAAACATGTGCTCTAAACTCACACATCAGTATCTACCCAATGAAGAAAGTGAGATGTTACGTATTTGTGGAATTTAGGTCGAGATGCTTACGTATTGAGGATTATTATTATTGCTAGTCATTTTAGCAGTACTCTGAATAGCAGTTGAAAAGACATTACTAGTTTTCCATTAGAAACACTGAAAGCATTTGGTATTCACTGATGCATGAGAATGTGTGAAAAAGGGAAGTGCTTTTAAATAATAAAAATGTTAGAAAGTTTACTCCTTTTACTACTCTTCCACATTTATTTTTGTTCTTTTATTACTGTCTGGTATTGGTTTCAATGTTTCATTTAATAAGATAGTACTGGTTCACCGTCTTTATTTCTCATTTTACTGGCATTACTCAATCTTCAGTTTTAAACTCTTTTGAAACCCTACATTAAATGCTATCTTTAGAAGCTTAGTATAGAAAAATGCACGGGAGTTCTTTTTAATCATTTGCATATACAAAAAAAAATTCTGTTTTAAACATTTTCATATATAAAACAATAACATTTCTGTGTCAAAATTTAAGTACTTAAATTAAAAATTATTATATCTCAGCGTATATCATAATCTCAGCGCTGAGATTATGATAATTTTTATTAATCATAATAATCATATTAATAAAAATTATCATAATCTCAGCGTTAATTTAAAGTATAAAAGTATAAACTTTTGTACCAAATTTGGTGCAGAATTTCTAAAATGTTCCAATGAATTCCATTGGGCCATGAAAATCAGTTTAAAAGCCGTGCTATATAATATGCCGAGTTTTTGCATAGATAGAAATTTTCGTTAATAAAGTTAATTAATCCTTCAGAAATCACGTTAGGGAATAATAAAAATATATAGAATAACAGTTGAATGACTTATAAAATTATTATCAATCCTTCAGGTACCGAAGCGAAAATTTGACAGAAAATATTATAGGCTGCATAAAAAAAACACTATCAAAACAAATAAGTCTCATTTCTTACTTTTTATTTAACGTCGAAATATTTGATTGACCTTAATTCCGAAGAAGAACAAAAATTAGCTTATTTACATAAAAATGTATATTACTGCAGCTCTGAAGGCTTTCTGTTTCAGTTGACAGAGGAAAAATTTATACTCTCAGCTGAAGACGAAATTATAAATTATTCTCAGTATCATTCGTGGAAGATTTTTTTCATATTTCTGATATTTAGATTTATTTTTAAGTTATGCGTAATTATTAAAACATTATATTCATTTTAAGTATGGATAGTTATTAAAACATTTTAATAATGTAAGATTTTATATATGAAAGGCGAAAAAATATATCCAATTTTTCCCTAAATGAATTTCATTCCATCTTCTGCTGTCAGCTATGAAAGAAATGAGTATGATTTAAGTAACGAAATAAGCCCAGCTTTCATCTCATTCGTTACGATATAAATACGTTGCCTTCATACAAAAAAAAATCTGTTAATAACATTAATAAATAAATAATACAAAAATGTTCGTGAGTTGTTAAACAAGCTTTTATAAAACAGGAAATTCTTTTCATTTTATGTAAATAACGTTGTTTTAAAAGAATGTTATCGAACTTAGAAATAATTGATACTGAAGTCTTTCAAAATTTGCGTTCTTCCTCTATGTTTTATTCCAATTAAGCTAAATACATTTTTGAATACTATGAACAAAAGTACGAATAAATAATTATAAGGAAAAAACACCTTTGTTGATTAATAATTTCGTCTAAAGTGAAGCAGTATCCGTTCTTAAATTAAGAACAAGCATTTCTATTTATGGGAAAGATATTTATTAATTATTCCTCAGGGAACTCTGTATGTAAAGCAAACATTTTTGATTCATTTAAACATAAAGAATATCTTAAAGATTGAATTGATGTTTTTTTCACTGTAATTATTATAACATCAGATTTTTTTAACGGAACTTTATCTATTTAGAGTTAAAACTGTTTTTGTAATACGTTTCGTCTCATTTAAAGTAACTGTAAAGATGGAAGTTCGCGTATTTGATCAATATGTAAGGACGTAAAGTTTTTAGCCACTTTTATGAATAACATGCATAATCTGATTATTTGTAGTATTTTTAAAAATTTCTAACTCTCAAAATGCAGAAATTCAATTTGTAGAACCTTTACCATAATAAATCACTTCCATATTTTATTTTCAATAAATTGCACAAACGAGTATTGCTGGTGAGTTGTTTGAATTACACATTCGGTAAGATGAAAGGAACGACAAACCATGAAATTTTTTTAAAGTTTCTGATGAAAACGCATTACCCCTCAATTGTGAAAGATGTGTTTTAAGTAACATATATTTCGTATTTTTTTTCAATTTTTCCACATCATCAGCAGCCTTTAAATTTTGCAATAGTATGGTACAGCTGAGAATTTTGAATAAATGTAACTTTTTGTTTCTAAAACTACCTTTGGGCACTTTGTCTTTAGTCCTTACTTCGTAACCTTGAATTTTGAATTAATTTCGAAAGATGACATTATGGACCTGTCCAGAATTTTTTTCTCTGATTTTTTGCTCTGATTACTCCATCTCTGTCTCTAACCCCGCGTACTTGTCTGAAAAGCTCCGCAAATTTAACTCACCTCTCAACTGCTTGAATATGGAATGAGAGGCAGAAAGTGTATGGAGGAAGTACAGAGCTTTCCTTCATACACTGCTTCAAATTTTCGCCGGATAGATTGGATGTAAGAAGTGACTGTGTAACTTCACAATCCTGCCAACTGATGAGACTAATATAATATTGTGGATTAATGTTAATTACTAGAATCTTGAATTTTCGTACTACTGGCAAGGAGGTTTTCAAGGCCCTTTGACCGAGACCTAGCAGAAAGACTTCGTCGCAGACCTAACTCTCAAATATGTTTCTGTTCGTCTGCAGGCTTAAGCTACCAGCAGATTCTCCGGATACGTAGTGTAACCATTCGCTTGACCCTCAGGTTGAACCATCCACGATGACCCTCAGGTTATCACTGAGGTACAGAGAGAAAAAAGGGTTTGCCATATGTTGATGGAAACATACTTAATGGTTGGATTGTATTTAATGTGAAACTAGTTATATTGGAGCATATACTTTCATGATAAAAGTAGCCATCGCCTTCAAACTTTCAGATAGATCAATATGTAAATTCAAAGAAATATGTTGGCTATAGTCAGCTATCTTGCATCAGTTTTCCAGGACATTGTGTCGGTTATGCATTTAGCTGAAGAAACAGATCGGCTTATATCCTACAAATATTTCTAATCTCTACTGAAATTTACAAAGTGATTCTTTCTCATGCCTGTCAAATATCTCTTAAATGCTTGAAAATCAACTGATGTGGGAGTGCTCACAAATGATGTCTCTAAAATTCACGAGACCGGCTGTCCATCCGTCGAGATTATTTCATATTCGGACATAAAGGTAGAGCGTTAAAATGAAGCTGTCATATCTCCCACTGCAAATAACTTCCAAACTCTTTCTCTAGTAAACAAATGACATCTCTTGAATTTACTGTAGTCAACTGCGTTTCCATCGCACTCAACAGCTACAACCTAGGATGCATCAATTTTATCATCTTTCAGAAAAGTCAACAAACTTGATAATGCATATTACTGCACCTGCTGATGCAATCTATCGGTAGACAGCCAACTCGATACCTGTAAACCGGCCTCAATTTTATAATGAAATTTAAGTCATGTTGCAAAAAGTAAAATATTATCATTCATTTTTAAGTGAATAGTAATTTCTTTCAACTCAAACAGAAATATTTTACTGTTTTTTTAATTTTAAAAGAGGTTGTTTAAAGTACTTCGCATAATGCATTGCCTTCTTTTTCACGCACATCTACAGCAACACTAAAAAATAATCTAATGGAATATTTTACTATAATATGAAAATTTAAAGTAAAAATTGCAAACTTTCAAGGCTCTTGGGCTGAATGAAGATGAAATAGAAAAATTATGAAAAAACTTATCGAGTGATACATTAGTCAGTACACAACTTTTGAGGGCTAAGGCGTTTAAATTATATAATTTTTATTTTTTCTCTCCATCCTAATGATCATGTACGTGGCATAATTTTCTTTGCTATATATATTCGGATGTTGTCAACTATAAAATATGAAATTTTTTGGAAACTATATTTTATCGAAAAATTGAATAACAGAATTCAAAAAATTAAGAAAATTATTATAAAAATTGGAGAAGTAAGAACAATGAGAAAAAGATGACTAAGGAAATAGTTAAAAGAGTTTATATAAACGTATACAAACGAATTCATTTTTCCATTTTGTATCTATACGTATTTCTATTATTTAAATGTACTCACGAATTTGCAATGTTCTTAATTCAAAAATAACTTGAAGTAAAACTCAAAAATTCAAAACTAACTTCAAAATTGCATTTGAATATGTTGAGAAATACTCGTATAAATCACTTTCAGTATGCATATAATTTCACTAAAGATATTAATTTTGTATTTGTATGTTTCAGTCGGAGCTGGATCTGCCGGGGCTGTGGTGGCGAATCGACTTTCTGAAGATCCGAGTGTCAAAGTCCTAGTCATCGAAGCTGGTGGTAAAGAGAATTTGGTAACAGATATTCCATTAGCAGCGGCCATGCTTCAGCAAACTCCCATAGACTGGGCCTACCAAACTGAACCCCAGGAAGCAGCTTGTTTCGGACTTGTTAATAGAGTGAGTGATTTTCTGATTAAGATGCTAGTAGCGTTAATTTTTCTGATACTCTTCAAAAACATATGTTAGGCAGAATAAAAATATCAATATATTACTAATGATTTTGGTTGCTTATTCTTTCTTAAACTGGCCGTCCTTTCATATAATATTCAAGCCTGTAATAATTTCTTCTTCTTATAAATAAATAAGTTTGCGTATTCTTCCCCAAGAGACATTTTTCCATTAATTTGATAAATTTGTCCATTAAATAAATAATCTCAAATTTTTTATATGAAATGTTTGTAAATATTATGAAACATAAAAATGCTGCAGTACTGTTTATTATCTCTAAGCATGAAATTGGTAGAATAGGTCCTATTCTAAAGCCGTAACTCACAGCAATAAAATTTAGTTTAATTCTTATATCCTTGACATCTCTTTATATAACTTGTAGCATTTAAGATAAAAATAAAAATGAAGCCATTTGTAACAACAAAAATGAAGCCAAAAAGTTTCTTAAGTTAAGGATACTTTGCAGTGAAGCAAATTTTATCGCCTAATTTTCTCAAATTAACTCAGTTAGCATCTCTGTACCTATGCAACACTGTGGCATGTTGCTAAAATTTTTCTCATAAAACTAGAAAATAAATTAGAATAATTAAAACATGTAATTTAGAATTAGAGCAGTAATTACGCTACAACTAATATTTATAATACAAATAAAACTTTATTATTATCTCGCCAAAGCATTAATCTTTGAATAAATATTCTTCAGTGAATCTTCAAAATTAGAATCTAATTTTTATCTCCATTTTTGTGCTTAATGTTCCGAAGTTATTGCAAACTCGCTGCCTTTATTTTGGACATTACTAGTCTGTTGCTCTGTACAGCTTAATAGCCGCCACAAAAATGGAAATTTTAGCCGACCCTTTTAATTAAGTTTAATTAAAATTTTAAAAAGCATATAAATATTCTTGCAAGTCAAGGATTTAGTAATAAAATTATAAAACTTGATTAAAATTATTAGATATTATTTTCCCATATAGAAATATCATTTTCCAGTAACATTCCATATTAGTCAATTCATATCAAGCACTCCCGTAAAAAAAGAGATATTACTAATTCAGAAGTCAAACAAGAGATGTTAGGTAAAAAGCTTTTCGATAAATCAATATATCGTAAAGCTTTTAATCTTTTAAAAACCGATTTTTATCAAAATTGTACTTAGAGTTCAGTGAATCATAGCTTTAAAAATCAAATTACACAAATGAAAGCGTTGCCATAAAGTTAATTTACATTTTTGCTGTTACAAAACGGCAAAAAATGTAAGCCCAGAAGTCTCCAAATTTCAACTCAGTTTGGATTAGAAATATAAAAATTAATTCATATTTTATATTTTCATTGTAAAATATTTTTCTAAAGATTAAGAAAGACATGAAAATCACAAATTATCAAAAATATCCAACACATCAACCTATATATAATAAGGAAACGCATCATGGAATGAATAAATAAATCTTATAATGAAACATAAATGGAACATCACACATTAAACTTGAATATGACATGTGGAAATTCTTCTCATTTCTCTTTATTAAAGTGTATTTCGGTAAATGATTTTAAAGCATTTGACATTTGACAACTCATAGTCATAGTCATCATAGTCAACCTAACCATTGTCCGATTGTTTTCAGCAGACGTAAAAAGTTTTGTTTATTTACTGTAAATCACTGTAACAATTCACTGTAAATCTTGTTTCACTAAAATCAAATGTGTTTTTCTCTCTGTCATAAGCTTTCTTTGAATTAGCATATTATTTCTTGTGTTGAGTCTGTCCTGAACTTCCACTGTTTTATCTGCTCCATAAGAAAGTATGTTTATGAATGCAGTTTTTAGTAGGAGCTAGAATCTAAAGACAAACATTTTCAGCCATCTTATTTAATGTATTATGTTAACTGTCTGTCTTTAATGCTGTTGCCAACCATCCAACGTGAGTTTGTCTCTGCTTGAAAATTCAGACATAATTGAGTAACAGCGAAACCAAGTTTCTAAGCTTTAATTTTAAACCTTGATTTGTAAATAAATTGAATCATTGTGTATCCATCTGCAAGTATTGGAATTTAATTTTGTTAATTATTTTAGTTTTCAATATCTGCTTTGGCTTATCGAGTTTAAATAAAGTTTTTATTTGTTTTACATCATTGTATTCATTTCCTGTACTGGTACTGAAAAGCAAAGAGAGGGCGATAATTCATCCAGCAATCTAGAAGATTAGAATAATTTTTAAGTCAAATTGAGTTTAATCTTGCATTCATATTTTTTACATTTACTAATCTCTGCTTTTTACTTAGCGCTCTTAACCGATAATTCAGAGTTCTTCAAAAGGCTCCAGATCATCATCATAAATTGTAGAAAATCTTTTTTTAAATGTTTTTCTTAACATCTAGTTCGATACTTTTCTAATCTTTTAGTATGCATATCACGCGTATAATTGTCAGTTCTGATTCAAATTCTGTCAAAACAACTCGCAGCTCAGAAGGTCCAAGAACTTGAAATTTTGTAGATGAATAGCTAGTTGGCGGGTGTATGAGTAAATCAAGATCGAAATTTCTTCCGCATGCCACTAGAGTAGGTTTTGAAATCAAAATTCTCGAGTCCGGAATCCTTCGTAATTTGAAATTTTGTAGGTATATCGCGATTCACGAGTTGCTGTTATTGTCCTGTGACTATTAAACAATCTCTTTCTTTGCTATAAAGGAATTTTTCAATGAGCTGCAAAGAATAATTTAATGCATCTCTCTGATTTTGAGGATAACTACTCCATTGTTCTCGCTCTTAGCCTCGCTGGATAACATTGTATGCAATAAAAAGTTATAATTGCCGATTTTTCAACAAGTTTTATGCTGAATTATTATAAAGTCTGCTAGGTTTTGTATATTCTATGCATTAATTTTCAGTTATGAAATTCTAGATAAATTTTAATGTTGAATTAGGAGATACAGCTTCAAGTGTAGTATTAACTATGTGTTCAAAGTCTGCAAAATGATCACTAATATTAAATATCACACTTTAGAGTTACTTTTTAACGCTTTAGATTTTATATGATTTGTTAATTAAATCTTTGACATAATATGATTTCAAACTATCTAATGTTATTTCTTAACATTTGCTAAAGAGGGAACAATTCATTGCAAACTTTCATGTCAACTGAGTTTTAATACGATGTTTTCAAGAACGTTGATTAATTTTTCGTGTTCTCCTGATCTGGCTTAGGATTTGTTGATCTATGTTTTCATAAATAAGTTCACTATTAATGGTAAATGTACATTTTTTATTCTACATGTACATAACTATCTCGAATGCTTTATAAATGTGTGTGCTCTTGTTGGAGTGAATATCCCACAATTTTATTGCTATTTCTTTTTAATATCTTAAAAAACATCATCGAATGCAGAATAAAGAAGAATAAGAATGAAGGGTAAATAATTATAGAGTAATTTTTATTTTCATTAAAATTATTTCGAATAAAAATTTCTTATAATTTCGGCTTATTTCTGCTGACTAAACGTTAAACTTATTGAGATTGACATTTAATAGAAGACAAATAGCATTGTTTTTGCCACTGCAAAATAATAGGGTAAATTAGAAATTTTACTGAAGAAAATTTACATATATAGCTAACATTACAGTAGATTATCAATTTTTCTGAATTTTTTAATAAAAATCCTATAGTAATTTATTGGACTTAAATTATTTTATAATCATTAATACTACTTTTGAAATTTCTGTCACATTTTTTTTTCAATCTAAATTACACTAACGATTTTAACGTTACTTACGCTATTTTACGTTAACGCTGTTTTACAGTTTTACGTAAAAACTTAACGCTGTTTCGTTTAGCGCTGTTTCGGTTTAGCTCTCTTTTATTTCAACCCGGGGATTCCACGAAATCGCTCGCAGCATACGGGGATTCCCCGAAATAGTATTATGCAGCGATAGGTTTCAAATACATATCCGAAAGAGTGTACTTGTATTTCTTGTTTGGTGCGGTATTGTACAGACATATTTTGAAGGGATAAATGTGGAAGATGTCGAAGAAATAATTCAAGAAGCAGCGGCTAGTCTTTCTAATGATGAGCTCAAGGAATTAACTGAACAAGAAAGAAACAAAATGTTGACAGCAGTGATTCAGAAGAAGAGCAAAAGAACTTTCGATGGCGTTTGTAAAAAGGAGTTTGTCTACCATACTGAAATAATGGATCAATTCATTGAAATGATCCGAATTTTGACAGGAGCTCAAAAGTAAGGCGTGGTGTAGAGATGCTCTATCCGTTTATGAAGAACTTTTAAGAGAACAACGCAAAAGAAAAAGGCAAACGACATTAGATGCTTTTGTCACAAAAAGGCAGAAACACTGAAAACGCGGAAGGCTAACTAAATATGACTGACTTAGAATTTTATTTGTTTGTTTTTTTTTAAGTTTTGTTATTTATATTTTGTTTTTTTTTTGCAAGAAATAATAATGTGGTATTAATTTGGGCTTTAAGAAATAAATGTTTGGTTTTATTTTTATTAAAAAAACATACTTTTTAAATTTAATACCTAACCAATTTCCTAGCCATCTTCCCCTAACCCCAATATTTACATGTAAAGATAGCCTCGTTTAGCGCCGTTTCGCATTACGCTCTACTTTGATAGAACGTATCCCCCGCGTTAAGCGGGGTCTTACTGTACTCTTGAATCCCTGTATGGAAAGAGTCCTAGTATGTCCTTTTACGTTATCTGTGCCAGTCTCTTCAGAGATGGGCTACACCTACTAGAAATATTATTAACTTATTTATATTATTATAATTATTGTTATAATATTTAATATTATTAAATATTATAATTTATTTCTTCTTATGTCTAAAACTGAAGTAATTAAAGTAAGTTGATCATAATTTGGAGTAGATGATGTAATTAAATTATCTTAATGGTCAATTTTGCTTAAAATTATTTAAAAGAAGGGGTTGGTTAACTTTTGACTTGCTTTAACTCAGGTTGAGACACAATGATTGACTAAAATCATTTCTGCTTGCTTTTCTGGTTTACCTTGCTAAATAAATACATTTCTGTTTCAGAGGAGTCGCTGGCCTAGGGGAAGAGTGCTTGGTGGATCCAGTGTCCTCAATTACATGTTATATGTACGGGGTAATCCCAAGGACTACGATCAGTGGGCTGCACATGGAGCTTATGGATGGAGTTGGAAAGATGTATTTCCTTATTTTTTAAAATCAGAAGATAACAGAGATCCTGCATTGGCAAAAAATGGTTAGTTTTTTATATTTCTTTTACATTCGAAACCATTTCTTTTTGCGTTTTCTTTACTAATAAACAAGATATTTTGAGTAAAATACAGATTAATTTTCTAAATGAATTTATATATATATATATAATGTTTCTGCATAAATCTTCTTATAAAAAATTCTTGTTTAGCTTTCGTGTCTATATTTTGGTAGAAAGAACAGTAGGATAAATTTTCTTATAAAAAATTCTTGTTTATCTTTCGCGTCTCTATTTTGGTAGAGAGAACAGGAGTACATTGTCTGAAAAAATTGCAATATGTGGGAGTTGTGAGGCTGGGAAAGAACTGTTAAGAGTGGTAATCGGCAATAAAAGCTCCATATATTACTATAACGAAATCAAATAACTCAGGAAATAATTTCAAAAGAGCAAAAATCAGGATTTTTAGTCTTTTGACAGCCCAGTAGCATCATGGAAAATGTTTCTTAATGTTTTGTGCAAACATTCAAATGTTTAGAGCTTTCTCTATGAAGTTCACAGATCATTCAAAACAGATGATCATTCAAAACACAAATTTGTAATTTTGATAAATTTATTTTGAAAATTATTCGGAAAAGAAACACTTTCATTAGAAAGGAAAACTACGTTTTTTCCTTTATTTTGACGACTCATATCCTCTGGTCACATCGTGGTGCGAGTTTCGTCAATACTCATCTTGTTTTTAATGCCAAGAAAAGAGTTTATTTAATTTTTGAACTAATATTATGTAAAAATTTAATGCTGGTTTACTGCGCATACGAACAAAAGGAGTGACTGCCAATTAATATACAAAAGTATTTAACTCTCCCATATATTGATTTAAGTTTTAAAATAGTGCTTCACAATTAATATTAACACAAACTGTAAGACTTTTTGGCTCAGGAAATATGAAAACGAAACTTCACCGTTGCCAAGAATCGCAAATCTTCCAAATGATAGCTGGATGTGCTAGCCCACTAACTATAATACAGACAGCACTGTACAGACTATTAGCTTCAATATTATTTCCAAACATAAAAAATCAACTTGACCTTCGCAGGGATTTAAACTACAGACCTTTCATATGTTAGCTCGGATATGCTAACTTCTCGTATTATGTGAGAGTAAACGGGGAATGCAATAATTCCTTATAGTACTATCGGAGCATGAACTAGAATTTTCGATGTAGGAAAATTACACAAAGCGAAATTCTCAAATACTTTTAATAGTACGAATTGCCAGACTGTCCACATTGTTTGAGTTTTGTTATTATATTTCGCAGTACTTATTTTAGTTGTGATCTAAATATATAGTTCACTTGTGCTGCAAAAAATGCGGAAATAGAAAAGGAGTACATTAATAGCTCGGTTCGTAAGTTTCATATAACTTAAACTTCAATTTTAAAGTTATTTTATAACTCAGATGAAAAAAAAAACTTTTGTTAGCAATATTAATTAACATTCCTGATTCCCCTTCAAAACTAACAAAATGTTTTCGTAGCTAAAATCGCTTAAGTATTTAAGCTGAACAACGATCAAAAGAAAATTATAGCTAAAGTCCTTTTCTGAAAATTTATTATGAATATTTTACTAAACTTATTTTAGCTACTGTTTTCTTGGAAGCAATAAAAGCTTGGCAAAAAATGAAAATAAGTTAAAAAAATAGCGTCTTGCGAATTAAAATATATTTGTATATTTATGTTATTTCATAATCTCTACATATAATAAAAGAAAGAGTCTGTGTGTCTTTTTTCGTTCGTGCTGCGCGTAGGCTAATAGACCCAGGGCTACAAAATTTGGTATATAGACAAGAACCAGTGCAACTCGAAGCTATTTTTTCAAAATTCGAATCAGATTTTTTTTACTTTATCTTTTCGATTTTATCGCGTCATTTTGAATAATTTCATTCTTTTAGAAATGGGGTTTTGGCAACAGTTTTTCATTCAATCCTACACTGGACTGCTGTCTGTTGAAAATCAGCACTGTTGCCACTCGGAAAATTGAGGCGATAATTCTGTGCAGCTTTTAAATTTAATGTTTATCTTGGATACTGGACGTTTGTTGAGAGATGGCAACGGGAAGTTGATTAATTTATTTATTAAGATAATTAATATTTTGTATTGAAGGATATTGCTTATTTCATTCTAATTTTGTTATATGTAATACATTTTTTTAAATGTGTGGGTTTTTAACTTTTGGTGTTCCTTTCAGGCATTTTTTTCAGTACATTTAAAAGCCAGACGAATGCTGGCCGCGTAGCTGCTAGTAATTAAATAAAAATATATGCAGATAAAGATGCACTTAATTCAAATGTTGAATGTGAATAGCTTTTCAATCTTAAGAATTCAAGAATTAAATTCAGTATTTATATATATTAAAAAGCCTTATTAAATCGTCACTGATAAAGAAGGCAAACCTGATTTAAGCAGTTTTTTAACACTTTTTTAAAAATAATCAAATGTAATTTATAATTTAAGCAAATAAATGTTCAATACTGAAAGCTAATGACTTTTTATCGATGTAACTTATTATTTATATGTTGGTGTATCGTTGATAAGCATGTCTGAGTGACAGCGATATTTCAAACCTCACATTTTTGGGCTGTATTATAGTTTTATTAATAATTAATAATAATATTATTATTATTACAAAAAATAATAAAAAGGCAGACAGTTTTTATTAAGAAGGTTACGCAACTGTGGAATATTCAGTGAATTATAATACTATACTATTTTTAAATTCGTTTCTAATAACTGCTAAGTATCTATTTACATCTTATGTCAAGTTTTAAAGTTAAGTCAATAACTGCACTTCAGCTTGTAATTATAGATCTTATGTTGCTTGTGTAATATTAGTTTTCTTTTATTTCTGAAAATTTGTTACTATTCAAATCTGTTAAAAAAAATAGTAAGTGGTATGTACTGAATTAACTAGAATTGTAAGGTTGTCTGAATTTTTTCTCACGCAGGTTATCATGCTACCGGAGGTTATTTGACCGTGTCCACTCCTTCTTATGCGACTCCCTTGGCCTTTTCTTTCTTGGAAGCCGGCAAGCACCTCGGATATGAAAACGTGGACATTAATGGGGCGAGACAGACTGGTGAGTATTCCTGTTCTTCTGCTGGCATTCAGAAAAGTTTAGATAATTTTTCTAATGCGTGACCGAATGATACAGATGAGGAATTTTTATGGAGAATTAAACGTACTATACAGAGATTTAGGGGATTGGTTGTTTTAACTTCCCATGGTTCAGCTTAAAAAAGGATGTTACTTGTTTGTTTTTGAAATTATATGGGATAATGCAATCTTTTCGCATCAAATTGATGTTTCCGTTCATTTGTTTCATTTTCTTCTTCTTTGTGTAATTTCAAGTAAATTGCATAATTCGTAACCAAAATCAGATTTGGATCAGTGACCTGTCTGCTAAGTAATCGCTACTCAACACTCAAAATTTGACCTTTTTCTGTAAAAGACATAATCAAAGATATCTTTCATATCATACAGAAATTTAGTCAATAATGATTTTTTAAATTTTTTATATATTTATTGCACTATCTTTCTTAGAAAAGAATAATAAATAAATAACTAAATAATACTCATCCCTTTGTTCACTTCATGGTGCATGTTTAGTATTTTTCTCATTTTTAATACTAATAAAAGAAATTTTATTTAATTTTTGAGTCATTATTATGTAGAAATTTTATGCTGGTTTATCGTATATACGAAATAAATCAATAATAAACAAAGCAGATAGTAAACTGAAGTATTTAGATTCTGGTAGTTGACAGAAAAATTAAAACAAACTGCTTTTACAAAAAATTAAATTTTCTTAATATTATTTTTAACTGCTATCATAAAAATATTATTATTCATATTTTTGTGCTAACAGTTCAGAAAACAACAAAAGTATTAATCGTTAATTACATATTTATTTTAATTTCCTAAATTTTTGTGAACATAATTAAACTAAAACATCCTTTATTTCATACATTTTTAACCTATTCATGCACAAATAAATTTGAAACAAAATCTTGATTAATTTAATAAAATTTTTTACCAAGCAAAATTGTAATTTTTTTGTCTTTTTTACATTAAAACGTTTCTTAAAAATATCCTTTCTTAGCTTTTTTTTTATCATTTGCATTGCAAATAATATTTAAGTACAAAAACCATTATTTGAATTTTTGCTTCAAGTTTTTATCAAAAAGATTCAACATTTTGGTGGTTAATATTTTGCTTTAGTTTCTTGTAAAGAAAATAAATAAAAACATCATTCTTCTTAAATTTTCTACCCGAGCTTTCTGTCAATATTATTTAGTAAATATATATATATATATACAGAAGTATATACTGTCAAAAGTCGTTAATCCGGACACACATAATCCGGAACACATAATCCGGAACGATCTATAATCCGGACCTCAAAGCTACAAACTTTCTGCGCATGCGTCAACGCATAATGCGTTCACGCACACGCATAGGCGTTTACGCATGCGCGTTTGATGTATAACGGACGGTATAAGCTAAGCTAAAATTATCTAATTATCTATTTCAGTTAATGTTGCAGATTGCGTTGTTCCTTAATCTTCGAATTGGATCCTGCTTATTATTTTTTGCAGACTGTTAGAACAATTTTATAAAAGTAAGCTTGAACTTTCGATTATGTCAAATATAATTTCCGATACCGGAGCTGCCAAAGGATCCACAAAGCCAAAAGTATGTTTCGATGTCCATCAAACAAAAAGTGGAATTCATGCAAAAAATGGATAAAGGCATATCCTTTGTTTCTCTAACCATTCCGAAATCTGTTTATTAATTTCACGCCGCTCTGCGGGGGGGGGGGCGTCGCGGCGCGCAATGAACTGGAAGTTCATCTGTCAGCACTATCCTTATCTTCAGGGCAGATGTTTTTATTTTATTCAGCTTATAATTCCTTACTAAATGTAATATTTCATCTCGATGTATTCCGTCTTTGATATGATTTAAATCAAATTCCTCGTCATTATAAAAATCACGAGTACACATCAAATAGTTTTCTGGTGTCAATTTTCTAATTTCGACTATGTGTAATGTATGCTTTACGCATGCGCGCGTTGAAAGAAATGTTTAATAAAGTAAACAAATAAATATTAAGCTTTTTTTTTTAAATTTTGATACCCTTTAGATCATAATTGTTCTTTATTTCATAAATTACGGTTTCATATTTTTAATTTTATAATTTCTGCATGCCATCTTACCAGATTTAAACTGATGATCTATAATCCGGAATCGCCGATAATCCGGTCCCGGCGAGTCCGGATTAAAGACTTTTGGCTGTATATATATATATATATATATATATATGCGTGTGTGTGTGTGTAATAATAAAATTCCATAGTCAAAATTACACTTAAAATTCTAACTGTATGTTCTTTACATTTTTAATGGCGATGTTCTCTTATTTGAAAGTACGTGGAATTAAATCTACAGCCCCATAGTCAAGTTGTTTTTCCCGCCTTTTCTACACGTACAGTTATAGAATGTTCTGAAAATATTTAAAGCGAACTGGATTGGCTGACGAGGCTGACGTCATTTCTTCGAAGCTCCGCCTTTCCAGAGGCTATAAAAGGACTCGCAAAGGAATATCGAAGGCTTTTTCTTAAAATGTCACGATACAGTAAACTTCATACAAAAAGTTATTAGTAATTCTCTTTTTATTTACTCCGGATTTCTGATTTTGTAACTGCTATTTTCTCCTGAATAATAATAAATGGATCCTGTTTTTTTAAACTTATCGTCTGATAATTTAAGCTACGACTAAAGCTGGTACATCACACACACACATATATATATACATGTGATTATTGTTTAATCGTTTTCGCATTAGTCTTTGGTAATAAAAATTGGTAGTCTTCCGTTACCGGAACTGGACTCATAGCCAAATGTTTTGTTAAACTTGCCAAGGGATTCATTTGAAATCGCCAGTTTGCTTTAGCAGAGTAGAGTTCTGCGAAATTAATTTCATTGAAGTTTTTATAGATATGGAAAATTGGGACTTACCTAATATTGACGAACCTTCAATACAATTTCTACAAAAACGAGGGATTATTCACTATGAAAGAAAATATAGAAAAAAACACGGGGGCAGGGGGGGATAAAGTTTTACTTCATTTCCAAGGAAACGTTGAAATAGGACATATAAAGCCGAGATGAAAAAAGGATTACGTTCTCAAAATTACGTTGAAGGATCCAAAATCAGTTTTTTAATACAATTTGCTTCCTTTATGCATAATGTTCAGAATTAGCTTCCACTGAATTTTATTATTGACAGCTTGGTATGAATCACTGCACTGTTCGTGATAAGAATAGATCGTCATTTAAAATAGACGGCATTGTTAATATTGTCGAAATAGACGAAAGTCTATTTCTGTGACGAAAAATTAACGTTGGACGTATCCTTGCGCTCTAATAAGTATGTGGCGATATATGTTGAGAAACAAAAAGGTGTTTTTTAGTTGTGCCTAACCGCTGTGCTTATGATACTGTAATATACTCAGACTATTCGAAAGGGTATAACAGTGAAGAATTAAAAGCAGCAATTTCGAATGAATATTTCAAATGAATGAAGCAATGAATATTTCAGGATTAATTTATAAATAGGATTTCGTGGATCTCGATACGGATTGTCATATGCAAAATATTAAAAAGCTTTGAGGCAGTGCGAAATGGTGACATAAACATCAGCACGGAGCTAGCCTTAACAAATAAGTTTTTACATAATTGAGTTTATGTGGCTTCAGCTGAGTCCTAAAACTCAAATGTTTTTAGACATTCTAAATGATATGTTTGATACCTTCGCGTTAATATTTATTCGCCGACTGAAATTTGTTTTTCTCATTTCTTTGGCAAGCTGTTTAATTTTGATTAGAGATTTCTAATTTTTCGACTAGCTGCTATGTTACTCTCTCCCTGGATTTTTTGGCAATATCTGAATCCGGTCTATACCCAAAAAGATAAAGTAAAAATTTGGGTGGTTAATATTACTTGTTGTAAAGAACTTTTTGCAATCAGAACAATGAAAAGCCAACTGAGTAGAAAGGTGATGCATATGCAAACTTCAGCACCATGACGTCAAAAGGTACGTGAGGCAAGCAAAACGCGAGGAAGCAGCGCACGCAGTTTAAGGCATCTTAAGAAAAGAAGGCGCATTTCCAGGTATTCTTCTGAAAGTTGAAAGTGAGATTGTACGTATAGTATGGCTACAAGAAAACATCAGGATACCTTTCTTCATACGTAGTAGAATAATTGGCTATCTTGAGGAGAGGTGTAGTTTGGCGTCTGTTGCCCGATAGCTTAGAACTGATAAAAGTGTTGTTTAACGAGCTTGGAAAGCCTTCCATACGACAGCTGTAAGAAGGATTGTTGGTAGTAAGCCAAAAAAAATCCGCACTGATGACTGATATATGTAGCCTTGCAAACAAAAAGAGATCGAAACCAGACGAGGGCAACACTTTTCAGCAGTTGCGCACGGCTACTGGATGAAAGGTGTTCCGGTTTGCAGTGGCCAGACTACTTCATAAAGGTGGTCTATTCGTCCACCGTCCTGAACCCTGCATGCCATTAACAGTAGTCCATCAGCGCCACCATTTACAGTAGTATACAGAACACGACGACTGAACACGTCATGAATGGAGTCACGCCCTCCTTACCGATTACAGTCGTTTCGGTCTGGCAAACGATTCTCGACCCTAGTTGGTATGGAGAGAGGTAGGGACATGCTTTCATTCTACTATTATCAGGGAATGAGACCGTTGGAATGGTCCAGGCGTGCTTGTTTGGGGAGGCATTATGATAAACGCATGGACAAAATTCTACGTTTTGACAAAATTCGCTTACCAGATATCGTTATTGTGATTAATTTATCCTTTTCCACATGCATCTTTTCCGGGGTGCCATTGGTCCTAACTTTGTTTTGATGGATGACAATGCACGGCGGTTCAGACTCATGCTGTTGATGAGCTCTTGGAACGTGAAGGCATCTACAAAAAGGGCTGGCCAGCGTGCTTTCTTGATTTACATCCATTGAAAATGTATGTGATACTTTAGCGAGACTTTTGGCGG